CCCCATGGAGACACAAAGTATTCATTCANCCCCCCGCCCTCAGCCCCATGGAGACACAAAGTATTCATTCACATTTAGATCCCGAGGTCACAGCAGGGCCAGCAGGGAGAGGCCAGCGAGTCCCCCCATAGACAGGTCAGGAATCTAACACGTAACTCCGACCAGCAGCGCTGAGGTAGCTTACCCTTCTTTCCTTTCAAAATGTGAAAGTGTGTGGGAGAGAGGGAGTGAGAGCACGAGTGAGGGGGGAAAAAAAGAGTACAGAGACAGATACACTTTAATTTTGTGTTTGTGGCAGGTCTAGTGTTTGTGTGTAACATTTTACATAGATTGTGAAGGGCAATTATGCGTATTGTACTATACTTTGGTTCATTTTGAATAATAGCATTTGCATTTTTGACTGTGTCTCCTATTTAAAGTTGAAGTTCATAAAAATTTATACAACTGGGATACATAAGGTTGATCAACATACACATGCTTGTAGAGCAGTGGCCAGCACGGTTACTGATAAAACCATGTTGTGGTTTATTGGGTGTTCATAAGCAAACACCTCTTCTCTCTGGCTAGGTTGTGGGCATACTTTGCTCTGTTTATGAGAGGTAGCTTGTGAGGACACAAGGAGGGATCTTCTATGAGTGTGTGCGTTGGAGGGGGCTTACGAGGGGTGGTAGTGTTTTCCTGTGTGTTGTGCTCTAAAAGGGGGGTCTTGCGTATGGGGCGCAGAGGTGCTGATATGAGGAGCGGACAATGCATGAAAGCCCTCAGCATGGGTCCTGTGTCTCATTGTCCCATGGTACCCTCCTGTCACTTTCATTTTGCACCCTCTAGTCCAGAGTCAGGACAACTTTGATATAAGGAAGGGGTGCAAGGGATGATGGGGGGAGCAAGAGGGGGATTTTTAAAAGAAAAAGTAGGGGAGAAAGATAGAGTCTGTGAAGTGTGAAATAAGATTGCTTTTTATCCGACAGTGCAGCGTTAAAGAAAAGGAAGCTGTCCGGCCCTGGATAAAGCCGGGGGGGGAAGCACACCTCTCTGATTTACAGTGCAGTCCTGTGACACCTGGTTAAAATGATAACAACAGCCTCAATAATCATAATGAGAGTAATGAGAGCTTAGACACACAGCTCCACACAAGAGCCCAGAGAGAAGCAGAGCTCAGCCCTACTCGAGAGCTGGGGAGAGGGAGAAGCTCAGCTCAGCCCCCGCGCTGGTTCTCCAGAACTTACGAAAGCCAAGAGAGACAGACAAGACAGTGTTGTTGACTGAGATACTGTATATGCAACAAAAAAGAGCAGGCTGTCACTGCTGTTTTGAGGAAAAGACTGGAGCCATTCTCAGGTAGGACTGGAATTCTGTACTTTAAGAAAGGCAGTTATCATCATAGCAGTGTATTCTGCTGAGGCCGAGGATGGAGGAGGAGCCTGACCTAGTGAAAGATATCTAGAGTGACTATTATTACTTGCTGCTGCTCTTCTCTACAGTCTGGGAAGGAATACTGGAAAGTGCAGTGGTTACCATCAATTATTTATTAGGCCGTTTGTGCTTGTCAGTCTGATTAGCATTAGTGTAATCACTGCTCTTCAGGGGAAAGGAAGGCTGCTCTCTCTCATCTGAAGGTAATCTTGCCGTTTTCAGTGTCTCATCTTCACCGGACGCCTCTTGCATAGCATCTGCTTTTGTCATCTCCACATATTTCTTCCCTTTTCCCCTTCCCCGTGTGTTTCTGTCTGTTGCTGCTCGGCCCCTTCCCCCCGCACCTCATTAATGTGTGTGAGCAAGTTGCTCTCTCCCAGCTTGTAAAGAGTGACACCTATGGGCTGGATTAAGCCTCTGCACTCACTGGCAAAACACAAGAGGGGAAGGCTGCTAAGCATCTGTAAGGTGTGTGTGTGTGTGTGTGTGTGTGTGTGTGTGTGTGTGTGTGTGTGTGTGTGTGTGTGTGCGCGCGCTCGCACGATTGTCTGCGCGTGTCTGCGAGATGCTGGAACAGAGAGCCCATGGACTGTCCCCACTGAGTGACTGGCAGAGCAAAGCTGATATTTATATGCTCAGAACAGATGAGTGTAATCTCTGTGTCGGCAATGGGCTTATTCATCTTGCATGATTAGATTAATGGAACTGTTTCATATCATTGTATTAGGATGGTTAATGAAGACAATTAATTAGAAGACAACCTTCAGGCTATTGTCCTTAACATCTCTCAGATTTGGGTTAGAAATGGCCTGCTGCCATAGCTTTGAGTGTTTCTCCTCATCTATTTTCAGAGTTAATCTATGGCTACAGTTTTAGTGTCTCTTCCATTTGCATCCTACTCTTAGGCCACTCATGACCTTTCATTAATTATGGTCGGCCTGGCTTTAATCATTTTGTAATACCGTTGGAGATGAGATGAGGAATAGGCAAAGCCATTTGCCACTTAAAGATGTAACGCCGCTCCTGGAATTAAATGTCTGCATTTCTGCATAAATTATGGACGGGGCTCTGTGTTGCGTGTGCTAAAAGTGTCATATGCGTTGATTAAACATCTAAATAAAGAAGTATTGAAAAGGAATAAATATCAGTGCACATGTGAGCATGTACAGTATGTGTGCAGGAAGTTGGGGGTGGGTACAGAGAAGCTGAGTAGCATTAGAATGTTGGCTGCCTATCAATGTAATGTTTAAGCACAAAGTGTGTATTAATGTGTAGGTGGGGAATTAGTCTCACTACAAGTGTCACATAGCTAAGAAATGACACCTTGCCCCGTTTTTAAAGGTGAAAAAATTTACCTGGGGATTATTTTGTAATCTGAGCACCTATGCAGCTGTACAGTATCCTAATTCTCGCCGAGTTGCGGGTATTTATGCAGGCAGGAGTTAGATGGGATTTCAGGACTTGGTAGGAGATCTCTGGTTTTCTGGGAATGTTTAAGATCCGCCTCACCAGCACGGGATGGGCTGCACTGGATGGAATACATGGGTTGCCTTGGAAACATAATAGAAACATGGTTAAAAATAAAAGAATAAAATGTATTCATGTGTGTGGGATCAGGGGAACACTTAAATATGCTTTTTGCAAGGAGTCAGTCATCCCTTTTAAATATATTTATTTAAACGCAGGATCATTGGATCACAGGATCGGCTTTTAGCAATAATGTGTAACAACACAATCCATGCACCAATCACTCTGCTCACAAAGCTGTGTCCTGCAGCATTTGTGTCAGCAAGCAGGAAATGGAGGATATTGTTCCTGTTCTGCAAGTAATACAAAGGTGTTATCCATTGACCTTGTTTTTTTTTATTGAATAACCCTTTATGTACAAACATGCATAATACAGTTACATGTCTTTGTAGTCTTAGTGTGTATTCAGTCAACCTTTAACAAGCAAGACAGGTTTATATATGTCTTAAAATAGCAGAACATGTAAATAATCTTAAATATCCAACCTTTTTATAGCCAGCAGAGCAGCTGATTTTCTTTCACACACACAGCAGAGAATAAAATGTCAAACAATAATTTTCTTTAATGTATTTTTCATTTATAAACATGACTTATTTGCATACAATATCTCTATTCACCCTTTCAGGTGAAAAAAATGTTTCTGAGTATTCTCTCTGTGAGTAAGACTTGTCATCAGGAAGGGGGCTGTGAGAGTAGCCATGTGGTTCAGAGACATATGAGTGTTCAAAGTGTATCTGCGATAATGACACATACCAGAGTTTGAGAACACGATGTCAACTCTATATACAGTGTATGCAGTGTTTCACAACTGACAGGATAAACAGTGAGTGTTGGGGATAATGTAACGTCATAAAAGTGGTTTTGGCTGTGGGTAGTCATGTGGTGAGCTAAGATTGGATGTGTGATGACTGCAGGGCTGAATACTTGAACAGGATATTTCAGTAGCTGTTGTAGCATTGTCAATATATCAATAGCTCATAGAGTAGAGACCTGAGCATGAAAGCATTTTCAAAAGAGCATTTAAGTACATTTGCTGTGAATTAGCTGACGTGTGTAATAACTGATAGGGCTTATTGACTGCGGCCTAGTTTACTGTTGTCAAATCAATGCGATTGCATGCAAGTCCCACTACTTTTAAACAAACTTAACAGTCGAAGGGGATGTTCAGGGGGCACTGGAGGGAAATAAACAAGATTGATGCCCTTTTTATTATCTGTTTTTGCTATCTTTTCCTCTGTGTGTTACTTACAAATGGCGTTATCGGATATCCATTGTTTGGACTTCGATGCTCCTAAATGGCCTGATATATCGAGCTGAGGCTTTTAAGGTGGTTACAGGGGATTTCTGCCTTTGACTTGGCATAAAAATAAAATGAATTGTGGCTCTGAAAGTTTTAAATATTTATGATTTTTCTATTTTTTTTTTTACAACAGTAGAATAGAAGAAGTGAAATGAGGCTTGTATTGGTAAGTAACCTAGCAGATTGCAGCAGGGGACAGTAATGTATGTGTGTGTTGTGGTCGTGTGTGAGAAAGAGAATGGGAGCTTGTCTACTATAAGGTCTTCCTTTTGAAGGATACTGCTCACACAATTATTTTTCCATCTGCCCACTTCAGGCCACATGTGCGCTTTTCTTCCGCAGTTTTATGTCCACATTAAACAGAGGAAACCATATTTGTGTCATGGTCCTGAATACATGGAGAAATATAATAAATTAGCTCTCAATACAATATACAATACAGATATAATTGTAACATAACAACAATAATACTAGTTAAAATAATAAGCATGATAATAATCAGAAATATTTGCCTGTAATTTCCCCCCATAATTCAGCCCTGATTTTATAATTCTTGTCAAAACAAATTTCACAGTGATGATCAGACAGCACAGGACAGAAAGCAGATTCTGCCCTCTTTGTCTGCTAGCCTTGCAACTGTGTGTCAGCATATGTAATTGTTGCAAGCTCCTATAGAAAAAAACGCTGCCGTCCCTTTAAGTGCTTCCACCAATTCTGATGGCGTGGTAATTTACATATCCCGTCCTCCCTCCCCCTTCAGGAGAGCTGAGTGAGGATGTGGAGGCTGCTAGTGAGACCACCACAGACCAGGAGGACCAAACCAAAGACAGAGAAAGTGGGGGGGAGAAGGAGCTCACCAAAGGGACAGGTAAGGCCAATATTTACACCACACACATTTAGGGACTACTATTCACAGGACACATGTGGCCCTGCACCTGAATGGTGCTGAACAACAGGCCTTTTGTCTAATTAAAGTAAACCTTTTTTAACAAAATACTGAGAGCCTTTTTAAACATTAAACACTTTCTCTTAAAAAAAACTCCCTAAATCCAATTCTAGTTTTCAAAGGCTGCACTTTCATGCTGCAGGTTTCCAGGCATTAAATCCCATCAGATACAGTGAGGATAAACTCAATTTAGGTAATATGTTCAGGTGACATGTGACCCATGTTTTGTCTTTGCTCAATGGGTGATGTGGAGAGTGGGGCCTGCATGCATAATTCCAGCTGAGCCATGTGTGTACACACATGTGATAGCAATGCCCCCTCCTAAACTTTGGTGCACACACACACACACAGGGACACAGTCAACACTTGCCTGTGTTTAAAGTTATCAGATCAGGATGGTTTTACGTGTGGATGTCTTAATTGACAGCTGTAGGTGGTGAATGCTAAGCAGGGGGTTGGGCTTGGGGTGAGGGGAGGAGCTTGAGGCCTAAACAAGCTGTGGTCAAGGGTCCTAAAAAAAGTGTTTTCAGGATTTTTGGACGCATTTAAGGTTTGAATCTTACGTTTTTTTCAAATTAGGTATGCATACATTTGTGGAATTTTTCCTGTTTGTCAGTTATGACGATCACTACTCCACATGGTGAAAAAAAAACTTTTAAAGTTTGAGTAATGTTGGAGTTTTGGTATGATTGGTTCTGTCTGAAAGGGCCTAGAAGAAGGGCTGCTTACAATGACAGATGACGACACTGATGATGGTGGAAGTACACAGCCAGTTGAGGTTCTTATAGCAGTTGTGGTTCTATTGTTTGTGGTACTGTTAACAGAAGAAGTGCTTGGACAAGTATAAAAAGGCACAATCAGCATTGGAGCTAATACTCTAATACACTGTGGGGAAAAAATATTGTATGTTTATCAATATTTTTGACCAAATACTTCGATATTGTGATGATTTTGCAGGGTTGACTATTTGTGCATTCACAAAATATTTGCACAGTGAGATTTTTGATAATAATCATCAGTGATGTGGATATAATGACCTTGTGGGTAAAGGCAAATTATAGAACAGCTCAAACAGTCTGGTAAGTTCATAAAATTACATCACTTTAATGCAGCCTTTAAAAGACAGCACTTAGGATATTCGGTATCCAAAAGACAATGTTTAGTTTCATCACGATATTGATATAATATCAATATATATTGCCCAGCCCTGCTTTTAACACAGAATCTATGCAGCTGCTTTTCCAACTGAGCTGCCCAGCTTCATCTCCTCAATATGAATAAAACATGGTCTCAAAGTTTAATGAGAAATTTAAAGCAAGAATCTAAAACTTTAGATTTTGTATCCCTTACCATACAGTGTATGTGCATCGCTGCGTCTAATTATATATAAAGCTTTTGTTTACCGATTTCTCCAACGTCAGTGTAAATGAAATATAGCTTCATTTTTCTTCTTTATGCACAATTTACTTTGTACGCCTGTGTTAGAAAAACAATGTTGGCAGTTAAGACATCTCTTATTCAATAGAAGAGATTTCTGATAATGATGACACTGAGCAGTAACAGGCCTGGATAGATGCTTCTCACTTGTCTAACTTCTTGTGTTACTGCAGGATGTTTTGATTTACACTAGTCAGGTTAAAAGCTGGAAAACAATTCAGACCTTTTGCATACCTAAGTTTTTTATAAAGTGTAGGGAAAAAAAACTTCATCACAGTGTTTGAAGCCCAGCCTTTGTAAAATGTCTTTGATATTCGAACTTCTATTTTAAATGAGGCTGAGTTGTTTGTGCTCTTTGAAAGGGCGACACTCTTCTTTGATGGAAGAAATAATGATATGCATGCCTGACTGAATATGGCTAAAAGTATGTTTTAGCACATCAAAATAAAGCACTTTAAAAAGCATTAAAATGAGCTGGCCGATTAATAATTCACTCATACCTGTGGTGCACAGGAAGACGACTCCTCGCATTAGGATTCCTCCTTTTTGAAAGGCATGCAATTTGATACAAGCATATTCAGTTCCTTTCCTCCCCTCTGTCAGTCGCTAATCACCAAATAAGTGTGTTTCTGTGTTTTCACAAAGGAAATATGTGCTTGCATATGAAAAATTTACAGCTTCCCAGCAGCTTATTAGAAACGCTTAGTTAAAAATAGCATGTGCATTAGGGAACCAGGTCTGAGGTTCTGTTTGATGTCAGTGAAAAGGTGGGTGGGTAGGTTGGGGTGGTGGGTTCAAGGCTGTGTTGTCAGCGAAAGGTAGACAGCTGTAGTTTAATGGAAGGGTCCCTTTTTGTACTTCAAACTTTTTGTGATTGATGAATACAATGCCCATTCAAAGCGAGTGCAGAAAAGCTATCTTGTAGGGAAAAAAGCGAGGAAGACCTCACAATGCATTTGGTAAACAGAGGAGCGATTGTTTGGGCTAGTGATTGTCTGAAGATGTTTCTACAGTGGGCGCACAAAAGGTGTGTGTATGTTAGAATATGGCGTACGAGCATCTTGGCCAACCTGTTATTTATCTGAAAGGTGCTCGGTCTCCCACTGTCTGAGGCTGAGCTGTTTCTAAGGTCCATCATTAGAACTACTGAAGTATTTCTTCTCATCGTTGTCATGTAGCTGTTGGAACAGAGCACAACATTGTTCCTTTACAAATGACAGTCACTGTCAGACAGACGGCATTAGCGAACGCAGAAAAAAGGCTTCCTCCTTTTTAAAGCCACTGTCAATCTTATTTTCTCTTTCTTGTTCCGCAGCTCCTCAGTATTCATTAAAATCATTTAGAGGTACATCAGAAGCCTTTGTAAAATGCATATGTATTCAGCATGTCATCTCTTGAAAGATGCCTTCATTATTCTGTTGTTTTTTATTTATCTCAAAGACAATACATATATGTACATGTACAGGCACTCAGACATATGTAAATGTCATATGCTCCCAACACTGCACGAAATATGTGGTGCAACTTTTTTGTGATTATACAGTATATTATCATAAGTGTATATTCTGAGAGAAGAAAATACAAGTTACAGTAAAAGTAATTATAAGCAGAATACTAAAATCTTAATGTATTTGGACAGTGTCATCCTGCGTGATTAGTGATTCAAAGGGTCATTTTTTCAATGCTAGTTATGAAATATGTATAACCGGACAGCTGTGAGGCTCTTTCCTCTCTCCCCATACCTTCTTCACCTAGCTGAGACAGCACCGGCAAGAAGGGAAGAGCTTCTGCACAGGGACAGGATCCTTACCTCCCTTCATTAAAGCAGGTGGTGTATTTATGCAGCAGCTGAATGTATGGGGATGCAGCAAGGAGAAAGGCAGGGTGGTGAGTGTAGGGGAGATAGGGAGGTGAAGAGAGCAGGAAGAGGAGGAAGGAGGGGAATTGTTAATACACCTGCAGGCTTGGACACAATGTGATTTGACATATTTAACATAAATGTATGGGGAAAGGTTATATTGAAAGCTGGGGGGTGGGGGACAGGCAGGGAGGAGTAGTCTCTCCATTCGGGAGCTGCGAAGATTCTAGTCCTCTGAAACTGAGCTTGATAAATAATTCTTTTCATACCTTCTTTCTCCTTACATTCAATTTATGGGAGCAGGAAAAATGATTTTCCAGCCTTGGTCATCCAGATTCTGAGATCAGTGGTTTTACTATGGAGATCAGACAGACTTAAAAGTAGACGAAACACCTTACACTTCTTATTGGCGACATGATATCTATATATACTGTAAATACTAAATGTGAGTGATTCTGTGGCTCATAGTTTAAAGTATCTACTTTAGGCTGATGATTATTTAAACATACCAACAGTTTTTAATATTTAATATGTTTAATATTGCACTCAAACATGTCCGTCTGCTTGGTTAACCACATGCATAGTCCCCAAACTCATTCATCATTTAGCAAGATGCAAGATATGTGAAGCAGCAGTGTAATGATCCATCGATCTGGATTGATCCGTCGATTCAGTGATCAATTCAAAAGTGAAAACATCGATCCATATCGTCATGTTTAGGTTACGCTTTTATTTTGAAATTCTGTGTCACTGTCAATCAGCAGCAGGCAGATGATGGCAAGCAGCCGAGAAAAAACTGGAATAAATCAGCGGTGTGGAAATAATTTCAGTTTCAGAGTAAATAGGGTCAATAGACAAAGCACATGTTGTATGTAAACGATGCAGTTATGAGATAAAACAGGGTGTACCTGCCTGGCCAGGTATCTCACTCTGCTAACTTGTTACTACAGCAGCATTAGCCGCTCTGTTTCAACAATGTTCAGCTGAAAAAACATGCGTGCAGGCTAAAATTCAAACGTGCTGTTCTGTCGGGGGATGCAGTGAATCAAACGTCTGCTAGCTGCTAGCCTAATTTATCTATGAACCTTGACAGTTGTTACTGAGCCAAATATAATACTTTTGTTAAATAATGTTGCTGTTAATCCATGTTTAATGGCTGCTGGGAGAAGTTTGCCTTCAAGTTGTATGAAAAAGATGATGGTTTGGGTTAAAATGAAAACGCATCTTCCAGAAAAAGGCTTTCTGTCAGAAAACCCTGAATGCTAACTTGCTGTTTTATGTGTTAGTGGAGTCAATTTAAAGTAAACTTAACTGCACTGCAGTGGATACAAGTGGATACAATTACTTACCATTATTTATGTGTTATTTTTATCTATCATGGCCAAAGGCAAAGACGGAAAGGGGTGGCAGTTTCTTCTTTAACTGATTGTGTTAAGTGGTATGTGCACAGACTCCTGAATCACACTGAATCAGTATCATAATGGAACTAGTGATTTAGGCCATTAATGTGAAGTTAGTCAGAATAAGACCGGGGTTTGTTCAGGCCAAATAACTTGAGAAAAAAATACATATATATTTTGCTGCTTTCAAATTCAATGCCATGACCACAGTCATATATTTAGTGCAC